TCTCCACCTACTGGTAGCTTTGCAGACTCAACCACGATCCGATATCCTTCGAACCGGCTGGCCATGCCTGCATATCCATATATGTTCCGTTTCATCAATATGTTATTCATTGATTTATTTTTATTGACAAAGCTGACTCTCGTAGGAACTGCGCTACAATGATGGCGTAAATTTTACAAGGCAGCTCCTGATGATCGACAAATACGTGGTGTTCGACGGGAGAAGCAACATGCCGAGCCCTGAGCCTTCCTTGCTCTGTTTGCTCCATGCAATCAGTTTCATTGTTTTCGCAATACATTGATATATGTGTCAAATTTTGGTGAGCAGAAAATCGATTTGGTGCGGCAAGGGTACCGGGTCATTCGGTAGGTTCCTCTAGTCGGCTGAGGGAGACGAAGACAAGCTCCGCATACTGTGGGGGAACAGCTTTGCCGAAGAAGTCAAAGATTTTACGGTAGTGCCAAGTGAAGGCAGCTACGAACTCACTAGCCATTCCTTCAAAAGCATCCAGACATGCCACACAACTCCACTCGCATCGCATGCAGCGTTCAACCATCTTGCACAGCTAGCAACCCGGCGGCTCGTGTCTCTGCTGCAGTGAATGATACCAATCTTTTTCGTGTTTGCCATTTGATTTGTTTCAGATCAGGTTTTATATATCTTTTAATTGCAAGTTTTGGGTGATTGCGTGGGACAGCTGCACGAACCGCTCCGAAAGCGGCCTGTTTTATGGAGTTGTAATTGCGTGTCGTATCCAGATTGGCAGCGTTGCAAGGCCCGGCAAAACCACTCTTTATTTTACCACAGTTGATCAACTCCTTGAATGCAGGCTAAATGCGTCGGCCGCCATGGTTAAAAGATACTTCAGACTAGCCGTGGCGGCGTTCGTTTGTTTGTTGCCAGCGAGAGTCTGGAGCGCTGTTGCCCAGCATGAAGGGACAGGAATGAGATTACCATGGGCCAATCATGGTGATCATTTGCAAATCGAAGCGAATCCAATCAGTAGTCTCTCGACGGTTCCCGCTTCTCCCCATTCGGTGCCGCACAGGTCGTCTCACCGTTTCGTAGAGACAGTTGGAGTGGTCGTTGCTGCTACTACAGTTCTTTTTCTCGTCTTCAGATGGTCTTCTCTCCGAAGGCGAAGGGCCATATCTAAACAATTTTCTGAAGACGGCTCGCCTCTGCCAAGGAGTGACGTTGAACCCTTCGAGTGGCAGACTGGCGAGTTTGCTACCGCAGATGTTGAATTCCGTAGTGCTTCGGGGGTGGACGAGGAAGGCGATGTTGTTGAACTGCAGATCCAAATACTCACGCTAAGTGCAGACGATGCTTCGACGCTGTCCCCAGCAGAGAAAAGGATGGTGGCAATGGCTTTGGAGAGCATTCAGTTCGTCGGCGACGAGCTGGACGTGCTGCATGCAAAAGCGACGGAAATAGATATCAAGATATCCGGTGTGCAGGATGAAATTGAACAGGTCACGGAGGACTATGGAGCTCGCCAGGATTACCGGACTGATGTCGTTGAGGCTCTGCAGAAAGAGGTTGAAAGGCTGGAGGAGCAGAGCGACATAGCCTGGGAGAGGTATGAAGAAAAAAGCCGACAGAGAGATCAGATGGGATATGCAGCAGTGCAGGAGCAGCGGTCTGCACGTCTTCTGTCGGACAGTGCGTCTAGAAGCAGCAGAGATGGCACACCTCCCCTCACCCGTAGGGCAGCCGCAGCTGTTGCTGCCGCAGAGAGGGTGCTCCAGGTTGTGCGTCGTCATTCGCCTTTCCCTGTAAATCCTCGCCCTTCTTCCCTATCGCAGCAAGCAGGCATGGCAGAGAAGAATGCGAGAGTACACACGAGGGCACTGGCGCAGATAATGCAGCAGTGGGACGGAGACCCTACTGCGCTGGTTGCAGCAGCCGAAGAAGCCTTGGTAGAGGCAAATGCAGTCCTAGGACAGCTGGGTGCGGGCAGTATGAACGAAGCCTCTAGCAGCTTGAAGGCCGCAATAAGTAAGCTTGAAGAATTTACTTCTGCGGCCAGAAAGATAAAGCCAGTCAGTAAGTCCATCAGAAGCGTGGCAACCAAGGAGACACCAGAAGCAGCCAAGGCAGTGGCTCGGGTTAAGGAGCAGAGCATGTTGGCTCTGCGGGTAAGTCGAGACCTTGGCAAGATGCAGAGGAGTATGGACGGGACAGAAGAGCATTTCCGCAAGATGGAAGCTCTATTTGGAGATGGTGTGGCGATACTTACAGT